AGAAAATATGAGTTTGCCCACTTTGGCAGGAAGAACAGAAAAGTGGAGTATTATTTAAATGGAGAGGGACTGCAGTACCGAGGAAATTCAGTATTCTTGTACGTGAATCACAGAAGGTTAGCATGCAGGTACAGCAAATAATTAGGAAGGCAAGTGGAATGAAGTATAACAAGCCTTGTTCCAGCTGTCAAGGGCTTCGGTGAGACCACATTTGGAGTACAGTGTACAGTTTTTGGCTCCCTGAAGGAATATACTCGCATGGGAGGCAATTCAGAGAAGGTTCACTCTGCGAATGCCTGAGAATAAAGGGTTCCTCCTGTGAGGAATGGTGGAGCAGGTTAGGTCATTGGTGTTTAAAATTATGACAGGTGATCATATTCAAGAAAATAGGATTCTGAGGGAGGACTCTTGATTTAACAGCCACAGATTTCAGGAATAGAGAATTCCAAAGATTCACATGGCTCTAAATGAAAAAAAGTTATTTCTCACCCCAATCCTAACTAACTGTCCTGAGACTGAGCTTTTAATTTGCACTGTAACTGTGGATTTAGAATCATTGTTGTGCAGTAATTGAACAGCACGGTTCCCTAATTTATAATTAAGTAGTGGTTCCAGTAGTGTACATTATTTCATACTTGTGAAAGAAAAGCATTATATACAGGTTATATGCATAAACAGGTAAATATTTGGTATTTAATTACATGTTTTTTAAAGTGCACTAAAATTTTGCTGCTACTGATTCAAAGGTCTGTATGTTTAAATATGTAAAAATTGAATAACTGCATATACTTAAATGTGGACTTACATGAATTAATATTTAGTTAAAAACCAAACATGAATGTTTCAGAGCCTGTATTCCTGTTTGTTTCTGATCCACTTATACTGTTGTACTCGATCTTACCAGTATTTGCTGGTCTGTGGCTCTGGCTCGCATGGCTTCCTAACTATTTGCCTTTGTGACGTTAAGTCATCTAATCTTATCTACTAAATATTTTACTCCTCTATTCCTCAGTCAGTGTGCTGCAAAATATTATTGGTCATGTATTAATAATTCAAAGGAATCAGGAAATACTTATCTGCATATCCAGTGATCAGTCACTTAAAATGGTTGCAATCAGTTTTTCAATTACAGCCCATGTGATAGGCTATAATTTCATGTACTTACAGTAATCATTGCAGTTTGAGTATAACGATCAGACTCCCTCTTTGCACAGCTGGACACATTTGCAACGTGCTGGAATTAGTATTTGAATGACCTTGACAATGCTCGTGAAATGCAAACAAAGGAATGCTGGAGGTATACAGCATGTTTGTCGTCATCTGCAGAGGGAAATGATGGGTAATTATTTCCCATCTCTGATTGCCCTTGAGAAGATGATGGTGAGCTACCCTCTTGAACCACTGTAGCTGATGTGGTGTTGATACACCCACAGTGCTGTTAGAAAGGAAGTTCCAGGATTTTGATCTAACAACAGTGAAAGGGTGGTGATATAGTTCTGAGTTAGGATGGTGGATGACTTGGAAGAGAACATGCAGATGCTAATGTTGACATACATGAGCTGCCTGTTTTCTTTTTTGGTGGGAGTGGTCTTGGGTTTGGAAGGTGCTTTCAGAATAGGCTTTCTGAGTTGCTGCATTGCATTTTGGAGATGCTTCACTCTGCTGTTTTTGTGCAGTGTAGGTGGATTGGCAGCTGCACAAGCTAGCTGCTTTATGCTAAATGATGTTTTGCTTTTTGAGTGTTGTAGAATCTGTGTTCAAACAGGCAATCAGAGAGTATTCCATTGCAATCTTGCCTTACATCTTCTGGATGATCCGCAGATCTTTCACAAGTCAGGAGATGAGTTATTCACTGCAAAATTCCCAGCTTCTGGACCTCCTCTTGTAATTGGAGTATTTACATAGATAATCTAGTTAAGTTTCACACTATTAGACTGCATGCTGCAACCAACCTCTGAATTGAATTTGCTTTCCAGTAGGGATCAGATTGCCTTCCTAATGGTGCGTTAGAAAATTTTCTTGCTTTATTTTGCAATTTATTTTCTCATTCTCTATATGTTATGTGGTAAGATCAAGTCTGGGTCTGTTCTCTATTCCATTCCTAATATGCCCAACTCCAAAGTGGGAAGACTAAAATGAATATGACAATGGTGACATTGAGGAAAACGAACGTGTACAGCATTGATGAAGATGATGAGCCTGGGAAATACTGTCATTATAACAACCAACAACAGCATAATTCCATTTGATGCTATTCATCCTCTAATAAGGGAGATGGGGCAGAGAAGAATGCAAAATCAAGCAAAAATTGAATTTGAATTGTCAGACAAAGAAGAATGCCTGGCTTTCTTTGTTCTACCATGTGCCTATTGTGAAAATATTCATTTAGAAAACTGCTGTGATCTGAAATGCCTTTGGAGATGCTCTTCTGAAAACTTAAATCATATCACAAAAGTAGGCTTTAGAGGCTTACTGTCAGAGAAATACCAATCTTCTAGCTGATGCTGCCCAAAATGTTTATCATCACTCACTTTAGACGGTCTTCGGATGGCTATTAGCTTCAGCCATAGGAAACTGGATGAAGAAGCAAGGATCCAATAATTTAACTGCTCTGCTTCACATAGCCACACAACCTAGAAATTGCTTCTTCAAAGACTAACACAAGTGATATTTTATTAATTGATGCACCTGCTGTAAGGGAGAAGTTGCTCATTGTTGGAACAGTTGGTGTAAAAGGCTTCCCAGTGTGACTCTCAAGTGTAACTCTGAGATACTGCCAGGAGGTGCTGCAGCTGCATCAGTACCAACATCAAGTTATTCATAAAAAATCAAACACTGCCACTGGAGCTGTCTTTGGAACTGGATTCAGAGACATCTGTTTCTAGGCTGCCTGCCTCTCATATGGTGAACACTAACAATCTTCATTTAGTTTTGAGGCAGGAGGTGTTCAGTAAGCATGTGGACTCTGCAGAGATTGCATAACTATGTTTGTCAATAGTAGTAATTTCTGTTCAGCTGAGTACGCATTTTTTAAAGAACTGGAATAATAGCTATGTAATGTTTCTTGCTTTTGTGATACTACATTTTGCTTTTTGGGCAGTTTTATATTGTAAAGTAGATGGCTTAGATTTGTTGATGATTAGTTCTTTAAAGCTGACCACACGTGAAATGAATATTTAACAATTGGATGTATTACTGCCCGTGTGGGTTGTGTTAAGTTTATTTGTGGTGGAATTTACTGAAAGTAGTATTGAAAGCACTGGAAGATAAATTGATATGATAGCCTTTATTTCTTCTTTTTCTTAATTGGAGACCAGTTTCTTATTCCTAATGTACCGCATCTAAAGGATACCTGCCTAAACAGAGGACAAGCTATGTTACAAACAAAGTTACTACCAAAATGAAAACCATTGCATGTTTATATTTTAAATGAAACACACTTATTTCAATACAAAAATAAATACTTTTGCTCCATCTTGAAGATCATTCTTTATTTTGCCGGCTTTACACCCATTTTGCTGCCCACTTCCCATTATAGGGAAGCCTTGATTGACAGTTGTACCAAGTTGAAGTTTGGGAGTGCCAATAGATATCTCGATTTGCAAGCTTTTTGGGTGACTAGTGCAGTATTGTGTTAATTCACATAAAGCTTTTCTTATAGCACTAGTGAAAATAGTAAATGGATTCAAGCTTTAAGTTTATTTTGAATCCCAAATTGTTTCAGCTGCTTTCCTCTCGTCTCACTATTTTTCTCTGCTCTCCATTCTCAAAGGTATTGATTCCTTTCCTTCAGAATGTGACAGTATTTGCTTTGAACCATTTGACATGGGGAGGAGCTGAACCTGCTTTTCTCCTCCTGATTTTGTCATAACATATTATTAAAGAATTGGACAAAATTAAGGACAGTGTCTGCAAAGAGGAAGAACGTTGTTAGGGAATTGGGTCCTGAATCTAATTTTAGTGATACAAAGTTAGAAAAGAGAAGGAAAGGAAAGCAGAAACTCTGAAACTAAACTAAAACTGAAAATGAAGGCACTTACATTTGAAGGCAGCTGTAAAATGATTGATATTGTGGATTCACTTGCCGGATGGAAGCGGTCTGATGGCCATTCTAAATTTTCCTGTTAGACGCATTGGAATAACTGGAGAGCAGGGAGAACAGCTTGGACAGCTGCTGATTGGTTCAGGTGCTTTGAACATCTGAAGTAGCTCAGGGCTATGTTCAAGACTATGTTTAAGTAGATATGTGGGCTATCAGCAACCCACAGTATTAATGTGCAGCCAGGAAGAGTACTTCGGCTCCTCTTGGCTCTAGATTGAGAGAAGTTGGAAAAATAACTTCCCTGTTGGTTGCTTTGGTAACAATTATTAGACCACTGTAGTCAATGCTTCTGCAATCCAAACTTTGATTAGTCTCCTTGAACTTTTCAAAAATGGATGCAGGACCTTTATTTCTATTTGAAAGCAAGGCCTGCACTTATATCTTCTGGGGGTCAGGGTCGCTGAAATGTAAACCTCATGGCAAATTTAATGACAGGCCAAGTACACATGGTTTGGACCGTTTGCTACACTTGTCATTGTTGTGTTTACACCAATAAACTAAGTACACTATTTTGAATTTATGTCTCAGTAAATGGACAACATCAACTCAAAGGCAAAGAATTTGTGTTTTAAATGAAGCGCTTTATGTAAACCTTGTATTCTCATGCAAGATCTGACACATCAAGTTGACCAATAAATTGTTCAAGGTGCTGCCTGACCTGTTGTATATTTCCAGCATTTTTTTTTCCTATTATTTTGAAGAATTTCTCTCCGAGAGCTTTTCCAAGTAGATGCAAAAGCAATTGTAAGTTCGGCTGACTAAACTCATCATATAGTGATTGAAAATACAATGAAAAGAAATAGACTGGAAGGCAAATGAAGTTTATCTTGATTCTTTCCACTTAACTAGAGTTGTGAAGATAACCCCTAGTAATTCTTACCCTGTCTTTTTCCTACAGCCACAGGGACTTGAAGCCAGAAAATTTATTGTTGGATGAAAAGAATAACATCAGAATAGCAGACTTTGGAATGGCTTCACTGCAGGTTGGCGACAGCTTATTAGAAACTAGCTGTGGGTAAGTTCTCATTTTACTGTTGCAAAATAAGAAGCAAAATATGTTTTAATAATTGTGTGCTTCAGAAGTTTAATTTGTTTATGTCAGATGCATTATGTACTTTAATGCAAACAGCAAGCAGAAATGTGGAAACAAAATCTTTGCAAACTGTTTTATATGTTGCCTATGTGTTATAATTCATAGCAGAATGTATTATGATTTACTGAGATAGTGTTAAACCTCAAAAGGTTTGTCTCCATGAACTTGCATTAATCTTGATTTAGATTTTGAAAATGTTCATTTTTTTGGCAGCTTTTAACTATTACAAACAGCATTTGCTGTCACTTTTAATTCAAATAACAGTGTTCGTAATAATTCATGTACACTGTGTCAGACAAGTAACTCTTTACAGCATTGACAACAACAAATGGCAACTCGGCAAAATATATGAGGCTATTATCGTCCAATGACAACAAGGTATGAAATAATTTTTCAGTGCAGAATACATTTTAATCCATCTCTGAACAATCGGTACACTGCCAAGTTCAAAGTTTCCTGAAAGTGTGAAGTCATCAAACAAAAGATGTAATAAAAAGTTTTTTTTCTTTAAATTCCCTTCAACATCAGTCACCTTGCGAGTTACAATATATAAAAGGAAAAGTAACATAGTGAAAAACAAGGTTAATTTGTTCGCCTTGCTTGTTTGTCTGCTACACTCCACTTGGGTGCAGTGACACTAGAATGCATGGATGATGCTCATCAAAAAGCAGTTCCCTTCCAAAAAAAAAATTCCAGAATGGCACCAGATGTGATGACCAGCAGGCACCAGTTTGTTTTTAGACTTGCAGCCACAATTGGGAATTCCTGCTGCCAGCATCTTGGATTTACACAGCTCTGACTCAAAAATCAAGAGGGGGAATAGCTTTTTTAATCATTATTGATTGTGAAATGCAAAATATTTTCTTTCTTTCTTGCTTGGTGGTTCTTTACAGCAGCATTTTTCTACCCATCTTTCCCAAATTTGCTGGTGGCTGCCCAGTGTGGTTATACCGCTGCCAGAAGCTCTCTAGCACCTCACCCCAGTGACAGTTCTTCATTTGTGCACCTACGTTGCAAGCAACACCAGGCCTTTCAGCCCACGAGACATTACAGCAGAATACAATTCTACTGTTCACCCAATTCCCACATATGCAGTGGTCACTAGTGGCAGAGCTACATCTGATATTTCTTATCCTAATCCAAGGACACTGATTAATTGCATTGCACTGTCATTACTGTACTAAAACTGTGTAGAATGCGTATGGATATAATAATGAGAGATGATGTATATCATGATATAACAGTGGCATCAACAGTTTTGTGCAAGCAACTATGGAGAACCAACTAGAGAACACGTCATCCTATTCTGGGTATTGTGAAATGAGAAAGGAATAATTGGCAATCTAGTTGCATGAGGCCTTTAGGGAAGAGTGACCATAAAGTGATCTGGGTGAATAGATTAGCAGGAATGACAATAAGCAAGCACTCGTGGACATTTAAGGAAGTAATTCATGACTCTCAGCAAAAATACATCCCAGTAATGAAGAAAGATTCTGAGAGGGCTAAAACTACTGTGGCTAACCAAGGAAGTTGAGAGTATTATGTTGAAAGAAAAAGCATTCAAATAGGCCAAAGTCAGTGATAGCCTTGAAAACTGGATAAGTTCAGAATCCAGCAAATAAGGAGTAAAAAATAGAGAAAATAAGCTCCAAGGGCACAATAGCAAGGATTATAAAAACTGACAATAGGAGCTTCTTTGTATATATAAAAAGGAAGAGAGGAGTCCAAGTAGACTTAAGATCTTTAGAAAATGAATCTGGGGAGATAGTTTTGGGGTACTAGGAAATGTCAGAGGAGTTAGAGATATTTTGCATCAGTCTTTACAGTGGAAGATACCTCACCATCCCATTAATTTCTCACCCATATTCTTCAGTATTAAGTACTATCACAAGAGAAGTAATGTTAGACAAACTATGGGACCTAAAAGCAGATAAGTCCCCTGGGCCTAATGGCTGTCATCCTAGGGTCCTAAAGAGGTAGCTACACAGATAACGGATGCACTGGTTATAATTTTCCAAAAATCGTTCTTTTCTGGAGGAGTACCAGAGGATTGGAAAATGCTGTAGTGACTATTCAGAAAGGGAGGGAGGCAAAACACAGGTAACTGTAGGCTAACTAGCCTAACATCTATTGTTGGAAAAGTATTGGAATCAATTATTAAGGAAGTAATAGCAGAATATTTGGAAACTCATTGTCTAATCATGCAGAATCAACATGGCTTGATTGAAAGGGAAATTGTGTCTGACTAATTTATTAAAGTTTTTCAAGGAAGTCTCAACCAGAGTAGATAGAGGGGAACCAGTAGGCGTGTTGCATTTGGACTTCTAGAGGCATTCAACAAGTTATCTCACAAAAGACTAAGTCACAAGTTTAGAACCCATGATTTTGAAGGTAGTATATTGGCATGGATAGAGATCTGACTCATGAGTGAGTGGGATAAGGTATTCTTTTTCACATTGGTGACCCATAACCAGTGGGGTCCCATAGAGATCAGTGCTGGAACAATAATTGTTTACAATATATATTAGTGACTTGGAGGAAGGTAGCCATATTTGCAGACAACACCAAAATAGGTGGAAAGGCAAGTTGTGATGGGGATATAGGCAGTTTACAGAGAGATGTTGATAGGTTAAGTAAGTGGGCAAAATGTTGGCAAATGGAGTACAATGTGGGAAAACGTGAGTTGTTCATTTTGGCAGGGAAGGCAAAAGAACACATTGTTTAAATGGAGAAAAACTGCAGAAAGCATTAACACTGACTTTGGAGGTACTTGTATATGTAACACAGAAAGTTAGCCCACAGATGTGGTAGGTAGTCAGGAAGGCTAATGGAATGTTGGCTCTTATTTCAATGGGGTTGGAATATAAGAGTAGGATAGTCTTACTGCAACTGAATGAAATGTTAGTGAGACCACGTCTCGAATACTGTAAAAAGTTTGGTCTCATTTAAGGAAACATATAATTTCATCGGAGGCAGTTCAAGGAATGTTCACTAGGATGGCCCCCAGTATGGAGGGATTGTCTTATGAGCAAAGGCCAAACAGGCTGGGACTGAGGTGATCTCATTGAAATATAGGATTCTTAAGGGGCTTAACAGGGTGAATGCTGAGAGGTTATTTCCCCTCGTGAGAGAGTTTACAACCAGCAAGCATAGAATCAGAGTAAGGGGGCACCAGTTTAAGGCTGAGATGATGAGGAATTTCTTCTCTGCAGGTTGATAGAGGTGTGGGAGCAGTCTCTTTGAGTATATTTAGGGCTGAGATAGATTCTTGATCGGTAGGGGAATCATGGGTTACTGGGAAAGGGCAGGAAAGTGGATGTCAGGAATGTCGGATCAGCCTTGCTAACCAGTCTACCATGTGGAACCTTGTTGAATGTTTTGCTGAGGTCCATATAGACTATGCCTTCATTAATCTTCTCTGTCACTTCTTGAAAAAAAAACTCAAACAAGTTGATGAGACACGATTTCTCACACACAAAGCTGTGTTGAGTATCCCTAATCAGTCCTTGCCTTTCCAAATACGTGTAAATCTTGTCCCTCAGAATCCCCTCCAACAACTTACCCACCACTGATGGCAGGCTCACTGGTCTATGGTTCCATTGCTTTTCCTTACCATTTTCTTAAATAATGGCACCACATTAATTGAGAGAGGGAATGTTCTCAATTCTGGTCTCCCTGCTTATAGGAAGGATGTGGTGAAACTTGAAAGGTTTCAGAAAAGATTTACAAAGGATGTTGCCAGGGTTAGAGGATTTGAGCTATAGAGAGAGGCTGAATAGACTGGGGCTATTTTCTGTGGAGTTTCAGAGGCTGAGGGCTGACCTTATTGCGGCTTATAAAATCATGAGGGGCATGGATAGTGTGATTAAACAAGGTCTTTTCCTTGGGGTGGGGGATTCCAAAACTAGATGGCATAGGTTTAAGGTGAGAGGGGAAAGATTTAAAAAGGACTTAAGGGGCAACCTTTTTACACAGAGGGTGGTGCATGTATGGAATGAGTTCCCAGAGGAAGTGCTGGAGGCTGGTACAGTTACAACATTTTAAACGCATCTGGATGGGTACATGAATAGAGGGATATGGGACAAATGCTGGCAAATGGGACAGGATTAATTTAACAAATATGGTTGGCATGGACAAATTGGACCGAAGGGTCTGTTTCCAAGCAGTACAGCTCTATGACTGTGTTAGCCACTCTCCAGTCTTCTGGCACCTCACCTGTGGCTATCAATCATACAAATATCTCAGCAAGGGATTCAGCAATCACTTACCTAGCTTCCCACAAAGTTCTGGGTTACATCTGATCAGGTCCTGTTGATTTATCTAACTTTATGCATTTTAAGACCTCCAGCACCTCTTGCTCTGTAATATGGCCATTTTTCAAGATATGAATATTTATTTATCCAAGTTCTCTGGCTTCCATATCCTTCTCCACAGTAAAAACTGGTGCAAAATACTCATTTAGTACTTCACCAATCTCCTGCAGTTCCACACATAGATGGCTTTGTTGATCTTTAAGGGGCCCTATTCTCTCCCTAGTTACTCTTTTGTCCTTAATGTATTTGTAGAAACACTTTGGATTCTCCTTAGCTCTATTTGCCAAAGCTATCTCATATCGTCTTTATGCCCTCCTGATTTCTGTCTTGAGTGTACTCTTACTGCCCTTATGCTCCTCTAGGGAGCTGTCATCAAGCCAAAAAGATATTCTGCCCATCTTACAAATGAGTAATGTGGTCTATGAATTTCATTGCTAGTATGATGCCAGATATGACCCAAGTCTGGCAGATCACATCATATAGCATAATTCTTCAGCTGTTCAAAACAAGTGAGATACTGACCATACCCAACCAACCTACACTTTTTAAAAACTGAACACAATGTCAAAATTTAGGTATGATTCCACAATTGGACAACATATGCTATAT